AATGCGCACACTCCAACCGTGCTAGAATACGGACAACACCTCTGCCTGGTTGAAGTACTTTCAAGTGACAAAGATGGATGATATGCTTGTCTTGTACCTGTGTTGTACCTGTATAGAGATGGATGGGTGAGATCTGCTATGCTTGCACGCAAAATAGGCAGCAAGATCCAACCAGACGATGTCGCAACCCCCTATGAAGGTGTGTAAGCCCCGTGCCGCATTGGAAAATATGCCAGCTGGGACATTGCCAAAAGGGTCGCTTGTAGAAAGATTCCTGTGCAACTGCAAATCTGCGACCGACATATCGGCTGATACATGCCGCACGCGACCCCGTTAGCATGAATGTGGCTCAACGATGCTCGGAGCGGGCATTTTGTCTGTGGCCAATCCTTACACAGAGTTTTAACCGTTGTATATTCTATAAAAGTGCCTACTTCAGAACCACATTGGGTCAGGTCAGCATCCGAGGGATGATGCCAAGTAGCTATCTACCTTCACGATAGTACTAGCACATATACAAACAGCGTTTCAAATCCCAGAGTCGAGGTCCCAGCCGCAATAAGGTCGTCTTGTGAGTTACATCACCAATAGACAAGGTCCAAGGCGGGATCGTGTACAAGTACGACCTAATGCAATAAAAATATGTCTAGCAAATGCGCCTCGAGTTAGCCTGGATCTAAGATAACCCCAGTTCGGGGCCTAGGCAGTGGCTAAGTGGAGCAGTTGAAGCATGTGCCGTTTTCGGTTACACAATCAGCCAGCGGATTGATAATCCTCTAACTCCTCGAGGCATGGGCGAAAATCGTCGTTGCATGTGAGTCTTGACGATGCAAATAGAAAATTTGGAAATAAAGTGTTGAAGCTAGGGCTCAATCGGTTGAGTTGATTTCTATTCTGCGACTTAGACTAGTATGGGAATTATATCCCGAAACTTAGTCACGTATTCGCAGACTACACAGTCGCAACGGGAGGATGCCGGTATACTGAAAGTTGAGTGAAAAGGCTTAGTCTGCACCGGCATGGGCTCAAGCTACTTACACATGCGCAAATCAGGTGAATATCAAGGGAGGCAGAGAAAGATTTTAGAAAAGTCTTGCCTAACATGTTACCAATCTTATAACCTCAGTTGTTCAGTGTCCTTGCGAATTTGTTTGAAAAGCTCGCACCTATCCGTTAGCGTTCTCCGAGTTCAGTCACTTTCACCTCCAGTCGTTCGATTTCGAAATGTGTCAACCAACCGACCCCTATTGTGGGTATATACCGGCTCATTTGGAGAGTAAGGACAGTCTTGACAGTCCGGACAAGCCTCTTCCGTACAATCCTGAACCGATTGTATCCCAAAGTCTCACTGAAACTAGAGAGAACAGGGTTCCTCCTTCGCCGGCAGGGCTCTCTCGTATTCTCTTCTTCCCAAAACATACCAGCACTGTCAAACACCTACCAATTTCCGAGGCCAGTAACATTTACAGTGAGGCTGTCAGAGGCGCTCCAGTGGGATTTGGTATGTACAAAATCAACATGATGTTCAAGCGCCGACTTAAGGGCGACGAAATGGATTCCAATGTTCAATTCTTCATCAAAGTAGCGCCTGATGAAAGCCTCGTCACTGTCCATCAAAGAAGCGCGGTGTTTGATAACAGTGATGCCATCACAATGTAAGGCAGAGAATGTAGCTCACTCTCGCGTAAACAAAGGACTAAGAAGTGCCCTTAGAACTCTTCCCAATGAACGGCAGAGAGAATCAGCGCTTTGAGTACCTGGTCTGGGCAACTTTCATGTTCTCGCATACCGATTTCCACCTAGTCCAATGGGCAAAAACGAGCCCTCTCTATCAAGATTTCGACAGTATCCAGCCCTAAGCATGGCGTCAGATGATCGATCAGGAATGCAGTCGCAGCTACGACCTCAGGGTCCCGGCTCACTCTGCTATCATTTGACGGAAACCAGCCAAAGCAAGTACGGTAAAGAAGCGAAGCCACGTGTTATGGCAGTCTATCACTACGCTGGAGGTCATCCTCACCACCCGGTTGATCATAGCGAAGGAGTTTTGCTGTTGCCAGATATCCGGAACCCACAACGAGAAATGATTGTTATCGAACTTCTTCTGTGGCATATACAAGATCTTGAATGCCCAAAAGAGAAGATTCTATCGAAGTTTCTTGTGAGGCTCGGATTGAGAAAGCCGCCTAATTAGAAGTGATTATGAACGAAGTTGAAGGGAGTTCGATTGTTTTTTTGTAGGCCGTCAGAACACTTCGTCTAAAGCTTACACGCGAGAAGTCCATGAATATTCATCTTTCTTCCGACGGAAATACAAGCTCGCTCCTGTAGCTAGATACTTCTTGAATGCAATTTTCCCCTCGCACAATGTCAGGATCACTGCGTCTCTGATTATACGCCGCCGTAAGTAGTCAGAAATGGAGTCTATGTAGCGGTAGTAAGTAGACGAATCGGGAAGTTCTGCTCGGTTGTATGTATCTGAAGAAGGATTATGCAGGCCATCACGACTCTAGATAGTACTTGATCTCTCATGTCAGTGATCTTGCTTACGAGTTTCAGTTCATCATGTCTTCATTTCATACCCCAAAGCCGACGAATTACTGCTTGTGAACTGTTCATTTGGTACTTTGTGCATTGTGAACAGGTGAGCAATTAGAGGTCTTTCAAACAGAAATAGTTCATAAGTATCGTATAAAAACCATTAAATTTGGAAATAGTCGAAGACGTAATCACTAGAACACCATTCTCGAGACAAGTGATACTCCAAACAATCTGCGATCCTCCCGGTATCCCCGAAATACCCATAAAATGTTGTGAAAAAGTTGGATAAGAACGCCAACACCCGGCCAAGTAGAGACGAATGTCCAGTCTGGCGTCTCCGATAATTATAGGCGCATTTGGCAATTGAAAGAGTCGACAAATAGTATCAGACCGCTCCGGGATAGAGCCAGGTCTTGATTCTATTTCGAAGATGATGTTGGTCAGTGGCGGAGCCTTGACTGCTGGCGCTACCACGCCGACCAGTCATATTGTTGGTTAAGTCAGAACCACTGGACGGTGTTCGCGTTATCATAACCCTGTTCTTGGAGTCTTGACTTTTAGTGTTAGTATTGACCCTCAATTTGATTGACTTCTAAGCTGGGGCAACAAACTTGAAGAGTCATAACGTCGAGGGTCTTCTAGGATGGCAAAGAACTTTGCCTGCGCCCTTTCAGTCGCGGAAGGTGCCATTGTCGTCGTCGTACAGAAGAAGTATTTAATCCACTCTGGGTGTATAGTGATGGAATGGGGTGTAGTAAATGGATGTCGAATCTATCATGTATGATGAACAATCGATACTATCTCCAGCAGCCAGAAGAGGGGTAACTCGGCCTTTATGTTGCCCGATTACCAAGGCACGGCAGGGACCTTAACCTGTCTGGCAGCAAAGCCTGGGGAAAGAAGGTTCATCTCCAATCCATCCGATTCGTTCGTCCCATTGGATTTGTTTCAATCATCTGCAATGGGACTGGACTTTGGGTGCCATCGCCATGAAAGTGAGGGGTAGCTCGCAACCATCAAATCGACTTGCCGACTCACATTTCTAAGCCAACTGGGAGGCATGCTTCGGATGTCCGGTTAATTGCTTGCTCGTTCGCCTCCTGGCCTGAGGGCAATTGGACTTGAGGTTATGAGACCTTGGAGATTATCAAGTACCACGCCACCCTTGAAGTTCTCGCTTGGGATGTCCGACTCATCGTTCGCTTTCAACCACCTAAAGCGATTCAAACTGACTTCCAGTACATGCAGAGAACTGAACCTTTTGCATTTAACATAATTGTTAATTCCTATTTCCATAAGTCAGGATCAATCCCTTGTCACAGCCGTGATCTTCCTACTGATGAAACGCTAGTAGGGAATATCTGGAATAAATCTAATTCTACACATTTCGGAACGTATGAGATCTTGTCACTGAAAGCCGAGCAAAATCTCCCCAGACGAGTTTTCATGCCCTGAAATCGGAAGGCAGACAAATGAGTTAGAATGGCATCGCACATCATGCCCTATTGAAGTGAATGTGCTGTAGGTTTTCCTGCCTTGTCAAGCTCTTGACGAGTTGAACCTTTTGATGAGATACGGAAACGACGACAAACAAGATGGCAGTATCCAGATATGCTGATGTTACATAGGACAAGCGCTGTGCATACAATACGCCAAGCGCATTTCCTTGACAGATTGAGATGTCTTGGATCGCGTCATATCCAGAGTTAGGAATGGTCATCCTGGAAGCAAGTGAAATCGACCTGATCGCCCAGGATTTTCGTAAAGCGACGTCTACTATGGGACTTGAAAATTGCTTCTCAGGAAATAGAAGACTGTCCGAGACCACGAATGATAGCCGCGTGGACCCAGCGAGATCAGCCCATGTTGGTTGCTCACGTCTGTATTGCATCCTTTTTACAAGCCGTGCACCACTCGTCCGCTGCACTGAGAGCTACGCGGGAAATGAGACTCAAGAAGTCGCAGAGTAGCACCCGGATTTGTTTTGAACCTAATCATTGAAGATCATGTGGTACAATCTGCCGATCAATTCTCGTTCCCAAAGTTGCTGACTGTGGGGGTGCTCTGTCGATGCGACCTTGGGGCTTAGGGTTGCTGACAGCGCTAGAGAATCCATCCGTCCTCAACCGGAAGTTGGAGGCGAATCCTGGAGTTCAGGCAGATCAAAATGTGTTCATTGACCATAAGTACGTAAAGTATTTCGACAGGCCTTTGACAACTTGGTCTCTGCATCCCCAATCGTACGTTTACCACCATTCAAGCTCATGAACAGGCGCCATCATCAAAGTTGCTGAGATGGCACTACTTCCAATCCGTGTTTATAAGGCATTCAATCCGCCTGTGGTAAAGAAGACAGACGATGCCATAAGAATTGGAGTTTTGGGCGCTGCCAAGATTGTGTGAGTACTAGCGACTGCCCGATCTCAAGAAACACTTTGTGATAAGCCGAAATTTACAAGGTCTATGGCATTGATGACACCGGCTTTGTCACACCCTGAAGTCATCGTCCAAGCCATCGCTGCTAGAGATCGTTCTCGCGCCGAAGAATTTGCCAAGAAGCATGGTATTCCTGAGGTCAGGGACACTTATCAGGGTATGCCTAGCTCCGACTATCGTGTCGAGATCCTGCAGGCCAAATGACTCTAATTTGCCTTGAAGATATCCTTGACGACCCGGAGATCGACGCCGTTTTTATCCCCTTGCCCAACGCCTTGCATTATGAGTGGTCTACACGAGCTATACGAGCTGGGAAACATGTTTTGGTCGAAAAACCATCTGTCGATAACGCAACTGAGGCAGATAGACTTTTCAACTTATCGGAACTGTCACCAACACACCCAAGCCCGAGGGTATTGCTGGAAGCTATGCACAACAAGTTTCATCCCGCACTGCACCAGTTCATGACATTTGTTACTCCTGCCGACGTCGTTCACGTCCACACAGACAGCATGGCGCCGGCCTGGTTTACTGCAGCGGATAACCTCAACCACAATTACCAACTTGGAGGCGGCAGTATCATGGCACTCGGAACGTACAATTTTGCAGTCATGCGCATGATCTTTGATCAAGAGCCCGAAGAGTGCCTCGAATGCGATACTAAAGTCTTTGATGACGGCAACTGCAAACAGTGCGACTACACTTTCAGGGCCAGATTTCAATTTCCCAACGGAACTGGTGATGCCACGGCCACTGTGAAGGGCCCTGCCCTCTGGAAGCCTTCTGAAGCCAGAGTCACACATCGGAAAGTTGTGGTCCCCGACAAGAACTTGCCGGACACCCATGAGAAGACGCGGACGCGTTTGGTCACGCTCCATGGGTTCATGCACGCGGTCGCCTGGCATCGGATTGATGTTGAAGACTCGTATGAGATTCGCAACGTTACCAACAGTCAAATAGTCAAGAAGTGGGTGGAATCGATTTCGCACACAGCGTACACGTATCAAGGTGCCGGGGACGGGTTTCCGGGTCTGGGCGAGTACTGGTGGTCGTCATTCCGGTATCAGCTGGAGGCGTTTGTCAACCGGATCAAGGGGCGCGAGACGCATTACTGGGTCACTAGGGAGGACTCGATCAAGCAGATGAAGATGATTGATATGGCATATGAAAAGAGTGGGTTAGGATTACGACCGACTAGCATTTTCCATTGAATGATGATAACGTCTTCGGACTGAAGACATGGTCTTAACGGGGTTTAGCACTTCTTATGATTGAAGTATCTAGATAGAGGTGTGTCTGGAAGATACTGTGTTTAATTTTTGATGACACGCCACGCATGCTTGAATCGGAATGCATTAGAATAACAGATAATACTTGGGTGATAGCAGTAAGAAAACGAAAAAATTGCAAGCAATGTTGCACACAAACCTCTATGCCATCGTCACTGCAAATATCATCCGTAGTGGCTAACAAAACAATTTTTCCACGATCATTTTCCATCGGTCCGAAGATATCACACCAGTTAAGAACGCTCTAAAAGAAATACAATTAACAATGGAGAGAGAAACAACAGTCCGTGGTCGGAAAGTGGGGCCAAACATCGTCAACTTCAGCTCAGGCTCATACTTCCACATTCAGGCTCATACATCTATAAGGCATATACCTCAACATCAGGCACATACTATTTTTTACTCCAACGGTCTTTATTAACAATTGGAGTTTTTACTCCACGAGTTTGATTTGAAATCAACAGATTAACAACTCCCGTGCTCACCGCTGCCGTGGCTGCCATACACCCGCTTATTTGCATGAGACCGTACCTATGCCAAAGGATCGAGAGTCTTCTACGACAATTTTCGACCAAGATGTAGCCGATGATCTATAGTCACTTTTGTACACGGTTGCAAGTGACGTGAGTTTTGGGTTACTCATAATTTCAGGCTCTAGAAGGTGCATGGAGTCTGCAAGCAGGGCCATGAAGTTAGTAGCCAAGTGCACGCCTAACTGAGACCGGTGATTGATTGCCGACTGCCCATATTGAACTACTGGCTCTTTCAAGGGTCGTGGGAACGTGTTTTATGTCAGAGAAAAGTGACAGAGTTGAAAACCTCCCGACATGAGCCACTGCCAAGCGTTGGTGCCCAAATTCATGTGACAGCTCTAGTTCTCGAGGGCCAAATCAATTCGGTGCAGCAACAATCAAAAGTGCTGATGATGGAATTTTCGGCCGCTGTGTTTTAAATGATTCATCGTCCCCGATCGCAAGATCTGCACTTTGGATGTGTGTAACTCCTTACAATTACTGGAAGGATTCGAAATTCGTCTTGGTGGCTGAAGTGAAGATTGGGTTGGGTCAACGAATCCTCGATTGCAAATGCGCCGGCCCCATCAGCTCAGCGTGATATACATCAAAGACACAACCAACAGATCGAGATAGTTTGGACGATCGGAACATTTTCACTCAGGGACTTTTGAAGGCAGCCGTTTGCGCCGAACCCTCGGATAACGGGCGGGCGCTTGGCATGCCGTCAAAAGCGTGGCTTTTGTCACCGACGCGTTGCACAACAGTCTTGACGTCATGTACCAACGCCAGCCACAAAGCGCATCACCAATAAAACTCCCAGCAATCTCCCTGAATGGGCTCAATACCAACCTCAAAGACACCTTTCTTGGCAATTCAGCCAAGTTTTTATGGATTTCTTCAAGCCTCCCATCGTGCTCATCCACGGTCTGTGGATGACACCTCTTTCATGGGAGTACTGGATACCATATTTCGAAAAAGAAGGATTCGAGGTCCACGCCCCGGGATGGCCGGGGGTGGACGGCCGGACGCATGAAGAGATCCGTGCGGACCCGAAGCCGATATCCTTACATCGAATCGAAGACATTGTAGACCATTACGACGCATACATCAAGAAGCTTGCAGAACCCCCTGTCATCATTGGCCATTCTTTCGGCGGCCTGTTCGCCCAAATACTATTATCGCGAGGACTTGGGGTACTTGGGGTTGCCGTGTGTCCTGCGCAACCGGCGGGTGTCATCTACATTTCGCCAAGCACGATAAGAACGGCGATGCCAATCTTCACTCACCCGCTGCACTCCGATGCGACAGTACCGATCTCCGAGAGTCACTTCCACTACTGCTTCGGCAACCTCGTTACCGCTGAGGAGAGCAAGAAGTTGTGGGAGCGGTACTGCATACCTGCAGATTCTCGGGTCTTGTGGCAACTAGCAACAAACGTGACAGCTGGAGAAGCGGCGCCCCACTACGTCCAGTTCGACAAACCGGATAGAGCACCATTGTTACTCATAGGAGCCTCGAAAGATCATATTGTGACAGCAAGAACCGTCAGGAAGGAGTTCAAGGCATATAAGGGACCTGCACCAGTGAAATACAAGGAGTTCGGAGGTATGAGCCATGGTCTTATTTTTCAAGAAGGGTGGGAAACAGTTGCGAATTATGTTTTGGAATATATCAACAAGCACATCCATTCATAGCATCGGCGTCAGGGCCTCAAAGTTCAGGGAGACAATCATCATGATAGAACATCCATAGATCAGTCTAGAATAATTGCAAGTGAATTACAAAGATTGTTCGGTAGAGTCGTATTTTTGGAGCTGTCAAGTTGGCGTGGCACAATGTGGCGTGTTGTGTAGAGTCCTGTGTAAGCAAGGCAAAGATTCGGTCATGAAGTACTCTTGTGCTTTAAAATGTTCAGCCAGCAAAACATGGCCGCTCAAGCTTTGCGACACGGCCTAAGTGGAGTTGACTGGACATTCCACTGTTGGGCATTTCTAAGCAAGATCTCGGACTCCGTATCCGTGGCAGGGCCCGTTTCGACCCCAACAGGTCTTGGAGTATCTTCGACCGATCGTGACATGCTATTGGCTCATCTCTTTCCAAAGTCTCCAACACCATTCGCTTTTTTGCAAATGCTCCGAGAGCTCCCATCCCAAACCCCTGGTCCTGGGCCGTTAAGCCAAGGGGCAGAACACTGCGACCTACCAAACAGGTGCTCACCTCCATCTTTGTGAACCCACAGTGACAGTGAGAATGGAATGGAGCTGCTTAGTTATGAGGGGCAGGCCGCCCTCTTCAAATTGACAGCTGGGTAAGATCAACTTGGTGGTCATTGTTATCACGCTCATCGCTATTGTCTCGTCTGATTCTCCTAAACTTTCTCCCAAGACTACCACGACTACCTAAGATAAACCCTCAGCTTACATTATGTCGTCCAAGCTCTTCCAGCCACTGAAGGTCGGCCAGGCCCAGTTGTCTCACCGCGTGGTGATGGCGCCCCTCACCCGCTTCCGCTTCGACGCGGACCACGTCCCGCTCGACATCGCCCTCGAATACTACACCCAGCGCGCCGCCGTTCCCGGTACCCTCATCATCGCCGAGGCTGTGCTCATCTCTCCGGAACATGGTGGCTTCCCCAATGCGCCGGGCATTTGGAGCGAGCGCCAGATTACTGGCTGGAAAAAGGTCACGGATGCCGTACACGGGAAAGGTAGCAGCATCTACGCCCAACTTATCGCACCTGGTCGCGCCGCCGTCGTCCCTGTTCTAGAGAAAGAGGGCGGCCACCCTCTGCTAAGTTCCAGCGCTGTCCCCATTAGCCCTGAGTCTCCTGTCCCCCGCGAAATGACAGCCGAGGAGATTGCTTCCGCTATCAAGGACTTTGCGCAGGCTGGCAAAAACGCGATCGCCGCTGGCTTCGACGGCATCGAGATCCACGGCGCGAATGGCTACCTCGTCGACCAATTCCTACAAGACACGTGCAATCAGCGTACCGATCAGTGGGGTGGCAGCGTCGAGAATCGGGCTAGATTTCCCGTTGATGTCGCAGCTGCGCTGGCCGACGCGATCGGCAGCGATAAGGTCGGATTCCGTATCAGCCCGTACAGCACGTTCCAATCGATGAGAATGCAGGATCCTGAGCCTCAATTCTCCTACCTCGCGCAGAAGTTGAAGGAGCTCAAGCTTGCCTATCTGCACATCATCGAGTCTCGTGTCAACAACTGGGAAGATGTCGAGAAGATCGAGGGTATCGAGTACCTCTTGAATATCTGGGACAACGTTTCGCCCGTTCTTGTCGCAGGCGGCTTCTCACCCGAGCTGGCTCAGAAAGCTGTCGATGAGGAGTATGCTAAGTGGGATGTCGCTGTCGTCTTCGGCCGCCATTTCTTGGCAAACCCGGATCTGCCGTTCCGCATTAAGCACAGCCTTCCACTGAACAAGTACGACCGCGACACTTTCTACACGCCATCAATCCCGCAAGGTTACATAGACTACCCATTTCACCCTGCCTTCAAGCCGGGTAAACCATTGGCATAGAGCGCAGTGGTATGGAGACATGACGATTCATGATAGAAATAGATGATTAAACATAAGTTAGACATTGAAACACTCCGTTCCTCTTAACTCCCTTTTCTTTTTGAGTCTTCAGCATAACCTTACTTGGATATCTAATGGTTGCTGAGAAGTGATAGACTCTGTCTCAATGCTCTTGAACTGCGGCAAAGTACGGATATGTCACGGATCCTCATTACAAAGTCCTTGGTGTTAACAAGTAACACCAATGGTAGATATCGGGGTCGGTAGACTTTAGCTTAGGCGTAGGGATCTTCGCAAAAACCTCAACATCGAAGGGTAGGTTTTCAACGTCGAAGCGGCCGGAGGAATAACTCAACGAAATCCAGAAGCCCCCATCGGCCAAGTGTCGTCTAACTCCTTCCGCCATCCTTAACACCGACTCTTCGCCTCCACAGGAAATTGCGTCCACAGTGCTTTTGTCGATGATCAGATCGTACGTCTCTCCGATCTCGAGCTGCGTGGCATCTGCAATGAGGTAGCGCATTCTCACGTCACCAAATACTTGCTTTTCCAGCATACGGCCGCGATCAATGGCTCGAGGCTCGAAGTCGACGTTGGTGATATTTTGGAAACCTCTTGCCCGGATATGGTTCTGCAGGTCGCTCATTCCGAAACCTAGCTGCAGGATGCGAGCCGAGTCCTCCAGATTGGTGAGACATGGGTCCACGATCGACATGAAGGTTGCAGACGAGGTCAACCACTCAAAATTGGTCTCGGATGCGAAGCGCTCGCCCCAGTAGCTTTGTTTGTCGAAATCTACGGGCATAGTTTCTCTTTTGGAAGGTGAAATTTTGTTACAAGGAGACGGTTGGTTTGTAGGTGACACTGCAGTGCCAAAAGATCGAAGTTATTCACAAGCAACCATCGGTGTGCCGGAGTTTTTTTACCCTTATCGCCAGATCTGGGCAAAGAATTTTAAATGCCCACATTTACGTAACATTGGAAGCCCCATCTGACATCATATTATTGGAACACAATACCAAGTGGTTCCGCTGCTTGAACAGTGCGCGGAGCCCGAGTAATGTTGTTTGTTGACAAACTCCCTTTATCGAGTGTCCATTTGCTAGAGCCTTTGCCGGTTCTGCTCTGTTTGTGTGCTGTCAGAAAACGTCCGATTCCCAGACATCCATGAAGAAAACAAAACGAGCTCAATAGAGGCGATAAAATACATGTTATCGCTATTCTGCAGCCAGACGACCTCTCATATCCTCCAATGCATCTCTAATGTTCCTGTCGAGATCAAAATGCCATAACTTCTCTGCCTGCGCGTAGATTTCCTCGCGCAGCTTGTCGAAGTCTTTCCCATGTTCCGTCCGGAGATCGTACAGTTCGCCGGCCCTTCGACTCTCCCGAATAAGCCATTGACCTCTCTCCCGACGGCTGGCATCGAATGCAGCAAACGCAGCCTCAATCCCTCTACTATCTCGTACCCTTTGGTCTGCTAGCAGTGACGCCATGACTGCTGCGTCTTCAACGCATATTCCCGCTCCAGCACCTTGATGCGGGGTGGATGCGTGTGCTGCGTCTCCAAGAAGGCATATGCAGCCTTTCGCAAATGTAGGCACCGAGTCATCACCTAGATCGAACAGAGCCCACTGAAAATGTTGTTAACTCGATACATGAAGGTGTAAGTGAGGACTGGGAGCGTGTTCATCGCAGACATACCCTATCCAGAACCTTCAAAAGCTGTATCACCTTCTGCATTCGTGGACTGAAAGCTTTGAGGTCTTTGGTGCAGTCATCTACTGTGGCAGGGAGCGTAAATTGGGTATCGCTTGGCCACTCCTCGGTAGTTGAGGTGTGGGCGACTAAATTTAGCATTTTGCCACGAGCCACCGGGTAGGTGATTATGTGTGCATCGTTGCAGACCTAGTCTATTGTCAGGTGATATTTTCAAAATAGATTGTCTTGAGAGTGATCAAGACAACAACTCACCCACAGCCCGGAGGTTCTTGCTTTGTCTGGGCCCAGGATCTCTACGGCTTGGCTCATCGGTATCAGACCGCGGTAGGTGTACTTATGGGTATAGGTGCACTTCGCAGCCGCATGATCGTGTCCTATGACGATACCTCTTGTGTGCGATTTGATCCCATCACATCCGATCAATCCATCGGCCTCAGCGGTTGACCCGTCTCGGAAGATCATTCAAAGCCGTCTGCCCGCTTCTTCTGGCGTCTCGACGCTTTCCAGCTCCTTACTGTAATGTATCATCTCATCGGGAATATATTTGAGTAAGCGCGTTAAGAACTGGCCCCGGTGACAACCCCTGAGTCCTGTAGTCGAATTTCCAAGTGTGAAAAGAACGGTGTCCTCGTTTGCTTCATCTGTACCGTCAAACACCTCCCACCGGAAAGGAGGCTCAGCTACGCTTTCGAGGGCTTCGAGAACCACCGGATCACAAGTCGTCATTGCCCTGAGAGCATTGGGCGAGACTCCCAAGCCGACTCCAAGTTCGGTATAGGCATGGGCCTTCTCATAGATGACGCATGGTACATTGCGCTTGGCAAGCGAAATGGCGAGGATTATCCCAGCTATGCCTCCCCCAATGATGGCGATTTCGAATGGTTTCTTTTCTCCTCCCATGATAATCCGAATTTTTGGAAAGAAAGATAAAAGACTGTGAACTGAGAACCGAAAGGAGGAAATGAGTCAATTTAACATGAAGTTATATGAGTGGTTGTGCGATATTAAGGTTTAAACGGATGTCACGCGGACTTCGAGTAAAAAGTTCACCGAGGTTTATCACGCAGGCTTCAACTTCACTAAGTTAATGAAATCTCACTCTCTGGATCTATCATAGATCAATTACTTTGCCTATATAGAGTATAAGGTGCGTGTTCTTCAATCGATTTATTCCAGGAATACATATACAGTGATGCAGAACTGGAGGTCGTACTCCAAACGGACCTTTAATAGTAACATTGTCTTTCCGTCTATGATAATTGAATCAGCGTCAAGAGCACGACAATCAGGGCTTGGGTACAGATAATTCGATGTCTCTTACTTGCGTATCTACTTGAACTCCCATTAAATAGCAGAGCAGGTCATCCTTTTTCGGCATTGTTGAAGCACTCACCAAATCTGTGGCAGTGTAGAGTTAAAGTTCTTCACCCCTCTTTAAGGTTCCCTATCCCCTGTTGCTAGCGTGGGATCGTGCTCTCATTGGAACCATGCCGAAACTTACCGGACTGGAGTGATTATGAATGCCCACTCCATCGATGAATTAATTGGATGAGCACTTATAACGTGGCATGTTCTTTGTCGGCAAATGAGAATTATGATCATATACGGAGTACTACTGGTAAACTTCACCACCAACTTCAACACTACCCCGCTGCTTTGAAGATTAAGGCACTGGTGCGAATCTTTCTTTTTTCTCATGTCCTCATCCGGTTCCCAGGCTCCCACTAGAATCTTGCTAAATGCCATTGTCAATTACAATGTGAACAGTGTTGTATCCCTGCCTTCTCCCTTGAGGGTTTTGTTGGCTCTGGTAAGCATGATCTTCATGATCACGCATGTGACCATACTCAAGGCCGATGAAGCCATCATGAGCAAGTTAGCCATAGCATATCGAGGCCCGTCATTCGAAGGGAAGAAGTATGGGCTCCAGATATTGCCTAGTTGGCTGAGGAGGTTAATGATGGCTGTTGCACACGCCCTCTTCTCTGGAGTTTGATTCAGCGTGGAGCTAGCCCACGAGAAGACCATGGCATTGGAGGAAAAGCATCTGGATCATTGTATCAGCTAAGTTTAGCTTCCTCGCACACCGAAAGCGCTCAACTCACCCGCAGATGTAAAGGAATGCAGCAAAGTAACGAGCGACTGTATTGACTGTGGAGACCGAGATGATGAACCCAACACACGCGACGCCCTGTGGCACGGAAATGTGGAAGCCACGCTCTTTACGACGATCGGAAGACCATGCTGTTGTGAATGCCACGACAGTGGCAAGAAGGTACGGCGGCGCCGTCAGGATGAGAGTCAAGGTGTTGCTACCAAGCTTGAAGCCCTTGACGATCGTCGGGAAGAAATTGTTGAAGCCATAGGCTGAGTGATTCGCAGTCAGCATTACCACCTGTTTTGCGCTTACGTCAGTGTATATCCCGTCATCTCCGTGCATACTTTAGTGTCGGCGAGATCTGGTGCAACTCACAAATACCCAAGTACGGGGGTCTTTGATGGCAAGTTTCAACCCATTCCAGACACTCGAGTCTGCCTCTGGCAAAGAAACCCGATCTCGTCGAATACGCTCAACCGCGACTCTTTGCTCAGCATCTGTGAGCAGCCATTTGGCAACACCTGACTTCTGTCCAGGAAAATCAGGAAGCAGTGCGAACCCCAGGAGCGCTGCGGTAAAACTTCCAGCGCCTTCGATGATGAACAGCCACTGCCAACCAGCAATGCCCCTTGCGCCCTCGAGGCCCGAGAGCACGCCAGCAGCAATAAGTCCCGAGAATGCCGTGGCGAGGAGGACACCAGAGTACAAGACAGCGGTACGCAATGCTAGCTCTTTGCGTGGATACCAGCATGATAGAAGATACATGGCTCCCGGGAAGAATGGGGCTTCCGCGATGCCAAGAAAGAATCGGATAATAAGAAGGTGGGTATAATTGCCAGCTCCAGCTGTGGCAGCTGAGACGATAGACCACAATGCTGTACAGGCAGGGATGTATATCCCGGGTCGCGTGCGAGTTATAAGCATGTTACTTGATGGATGTTAGTATTTCAGCGTGGATGGTCAGAAGTTCAGGCACCTCTCTCTTACCTGGGAAGCTGCATCAACATATAGCCAATGTTCAGGATGGAAACAGCAACGTTGAATTGGTTTCCAGTAAGATTAAGATCCTTCTCAAATGAGCTCAATCGGGCTTGACTGTTACCAGTTACTGTTAAAGACTAGCCAATGTTGAATGTTATCAAATTCTTACGCAATGTTGTTTCGATCAAGAAAGTTAAAAAGATACAAGAGCCAGACCTATCAGCTGTCAACCATTGTACTGGATCTTGAGCTGCTGTTGTCAGACGACTGACCATAGGGACGAGTGTATAGTCGAGTTTCCTCACCAAACTCTTCTCGTGAGCAATGAATTCTTCTTCTGTCATGCCAAAGTTGTTATCAGTGACCTCTTTCTCAGAGGCAATATCCTGCTCTTGAAAAGCGTGTAAATCGTCGATATGATCAGAGCTGGCTTGCATTGTTTCACGCTTTTCTCTTGAATTATCAATAGCCATTGTCGCTGGTGTGGAAGATAGTGATCTCCAATGATAAAGTTTTGAATGGAAAGGGAAGGTAAAATTAATTGAGGAAGATACTTGCAGGTGCAATATTTATTCGGGTTCTTCTACTACAAGAAGAAGAGAAGCACACAAGTTGAAATAATGCGGCGTGGTGTTTGGCGACGATGGGTCTTAAGTCATGTCTTTCTGAACATCAGCATCACTTTCAGACACGCCCCAAGGGGATACACAAATGGCTGTCTGTCCAGTCCTGATTGTCAAGCAGCACGACGGAAACCCCAGAATTACCCCGCAAACCCTCAATCTCACCCCAGGTTCTAACCCACTAGTAGAGTACCCGTACAAAGGTTTACCTGAACCTACGAGGGTTACACAAACAGGCTGTTATTCTATTTCCTGTCGGTACCCAGCCAATCTGCAGACACGGAATCGAAAGATTCGGGTATCTGCCATGCCAGTGCAGATAGAGAAGTCACGTCGTTCGATAGTGGACTTCTCCGTACCTGCCTCGGGCTGTTCCAGCCACTGCTGAAGCTGGTAAAGGTCATCTCGGAGAAATGTGAAAACCTCCAGTCCCTTGCGTAATGGAGGAGTCCGTGGCTTAGCGGAGTAGTCCGTCGCATGGAGAAGTCCAGTCTCATTTGTCGGACTACTCCGTGAAAATGCATAATGGTATTGGCCATCATGAGTGCGCGAAAAAGCCCCCCATAAACCACCGGCCCCGCGAGTTGTGGCGGCGTGACACTCGGGATCGTGAACATCCATCCCGTTTCAGTGCAACATCTCGCCAGATATGGCGGGGCTCATAATGCAGAATATGGTGAGGCGGGACATCGGGACTCATAATTTGCTCCAATTGCACACTCCGTACAACATTTCCTCGTTTAACAGTACCTTATCATGATTATGACATCAGTAAGGAGCTCAAGAAGTATCATAGTGATGGATATAGCCCACATCCGAGCTTGTGTAAAGGTGACCTTGGGTTTTATGATATTAAGAACGCTATGCAGAACAGAATATGACTCTCTATCATGTGATCCCTTGAGGTTCTCGGTGCCTAACGCCGACAAGGTATCATCATGCTTCGCCGCGAAGTGCAACGCGCTTGATGTGGTTGAGTGCACTCCCCGCCCGCAACCATTCAATCTGGTTGGCTTCGAAACTGTGATTCAACTTGGCCGTCCACCTGGAACCTTGTAGGGTCACGACCTCCATGGTTACCTGCTTTCTGGGCCGCAAATCAGCATCTTCGACATCCACAAGCGTGATTTTGTCCCCTTTCTGTATTTTGCCATAGTCTGCGGGATCACTGAACATAAGCGGCAGCATGCCCTGCTTCTTCAAGTTCGTCTCGTGAATTCTGGCAAAGCTCTTGGCAATGATGGCAACACCACCCAGATATCTCGGCTCCAGCGCAGCGTGTTCTCGCGAGCTTCCTTCGCCGTAATTGTCATCTCCGATGATGCACCACCTGATGCCGGCGCTCTTCATGCTCCTCGCAGCTTGAGGCACGGGTTTGATTCGGCCATCGACTGGATCAGTGGCTTTACCAATCATGCTTAATGAGCTGGCGTCTGCTAAGAAGTCGTTGGTGGCTCCGAGGAGCATGTTGTTGCTGATGTTTTCCAGATGACCCCGGTACTTGTACCAAGGACCGGCGGGCGAGATATGATCTGTCGTACATTTGCCACGGACCTTGATGAGGATGTTCATGCCACACGCTTTGCCGACTTGCCATCCGTCAAATGGTGTCAGGAGCTGGAGTCTATCGCTGGATGGGAGGATATTGACTTCCAGTTCCGATGTGTCAGATGGTACCGGAGGCTGAAAACGGTCGGCGCCGGGAGAGAAGCCGGCTGGGAGCTCAGCAGCTCTAGGGGGCGTGAAACGGAACTTCTTGGAAACGCCCTGTGCACCGGGGATATGGATGTCATCGGTCATGGGGTTGAACGTGAGATTACCAGCGAAGGCAAATGCCGCGGCGAGCTCGGGTGATGTTACGAAAGAATGAGTGGCCGGATTGCTGTCATGGCGACCTGTGAAGTTGCGGTTGAAGCTGGAAATGATCGAGTTCTCCTCGGCGTTCTTCACATCGACGTCTTCCCGGTCCCATTGTCCGACACATGGACCACAAGAGTTACTCAAAATAACAGCTCCAGCTTGTCTGAGCGTATCAAGGATTCCTTCTTCTTCTGCCGTGGCACGGATTTGCTCACTTCCCGGACTAACCAGGAATCGAGTCTTTGTCCTCTCCAGGCCAGCTTCCCTAGCTTGAACAACGAGATCTCGAACCTTTTCTAGGTCTTCGTACGAGCTATTGGTGCAACTACCGACTAGACTGCAAGAAATTTCTGGTGGCCATGAGCTCTTCTCGACATCTTCTTTGAATTGAGATAGTGGGTGTGCTAGGTCCGGGGTGAAGGGACCGTTGATGTGAGGCTCAAGGGTAGATAGGTCGATCTCGATTATCTCATCGTAGTAGCGGTCGCAACCCTCGTCTCCAACTAGGAGTGCTTGTTTGAAAGTGTCGGCATAGTCGGCGATATTCTTGCGCTTTGTGGCTGACAGGTATCGTGACATCGCTTCCGAGTAAGGGAACACGCAAGACGTCGATCCAATTTCGGCAGACATGTTGCAGACAGTTGCCATTGCCGTAGCACCCAGCGTTTCTGTGCCCGGACCAAAGAACTCAATGGCCTTGCCTTTGCCTCCAGAAACAGTGAGGATACCCGCAAGTTTGCAGATTATGTCCTTCGACGAGCTCCATCCCTGGAGTTTGCCGGTCAGACGCACGCCGCAGACCTTTGGACAGACAAGCTCCCACGGCATACCAGACATTGCATCGACAGCATCAGCCCCGCCGACACCGATACCTAGCATGCCCATTCCTCCGGCATTCGGTGTGTGCGAGTCCGTGCCAATCATCAGGCCGCCTGGAAAGGCATAGTTCTCGAAGATGGTTGTGTGTATGATTCCCGCTCCTGGCTTCCAGTACCCGATCCCGTATTTCTTCGTCGCACTGCCCAGAAAAGCATACACCTCTTCGTGGTCGCTAGCGGCGCGGGCAAGATCTCCCTTGTCACCTTTCGCGGCAACGATCAGGTGGTCGCTGTGTACAGATGTCGGAACTCTGACGCGTGGAAGACCAGCGCTGATGAACTGAAGCAAGGCCATTGTTGCCGTGGCATCATGGCATGCTACTCGATCCGGTCGCAGGCGCAGTATTGTGTTGCCGCGATGTATTTCGTCGATCAACCACCCATCTTCGCCAGGGACTAGGTGGCTGTATAGGATCTTTTCGGAGAGTGTCAGGGGTCGTTTATTAGACTTTTGTAAGTCATGAAGGGCTTGTAATCGCGATCCATAATCCAATTGATTGTACTAGGTCATCGTCAGACTCATTGCATTGGTTTCGGCAGTAGTTATGTAAAAGACTTACCGGCTCCAAAGGACTTAACGGAACTTTTACAGATGCGGCTGGAGTTGCAAACTGTCTTCTCCATGCTGCGTACGAAGATTGTTTGAATGAGGAGCTTCCTTTTGACCTAGCTGCCTTCAATAGCGCTAGCGACATGATGGCGGATGCTCTGCCTCAGCGCCAGTCCAGACGCCCTCCAAGGGCACGGCATCTTTTTCATTCTCCTCCCACTCGTACTACGATACCAAACGGTGCTGTAAATTGCGATGCCATGAAGAATTCGTAACAGCTTCTGCTGCAATTTCGAACAGGAGGAAGGCCTGGGTAGTTCCGTCTAGAGCTCCAAAGTTGAGGTGGACACGGAGTAGTCCGGGAGTTTAGCAAGATCCAAAGACGGACTACTCCGCCTAAAACCAAATCTGAGTCCGACCCCCGGAGCTATCCGTATGGATTGCTCTTGTAGCCCAATTGATAGCGCATTAAAGCAAGCTGAATCCTCCCAAATCCCCTGGAAATCCCAAGACGGCGCTGACGAGTGCCTAGCTGTGTCATCGATATCCCGGGTTCGGGAAGTTCGCTATCTCGTAAGGATCGCTAATGCTAGCCAAAGGAAAGCTCCAGCTGAACTCAGACTTGTCAAAATCGGCAAGGAAAGTCTCAATCTCCGGAACATAGTCGGTCGTGGTTGAATGGAACGTAGGGTCGGGATAGACTCCTTGCCAATGTACCGGGTCGTGGGCATTCGATAGCTCCACGGAAGCTCCCGCCATCTGGTGCCAGGGTGCGTCTGCTCCGTTGAGCGCTATGTGGGAAAGGTCGGACTGCTGACCACTTGCGTCATAGACAGGTGCTCCTTCTGAGTTCTCAATCGTAGTCTCTCCGTCTTCGGCGTTGAGAGGCATGAAGAGCCGGGGATTCTTTGATGGCATATTGCCGGTGTAAAGCTTGCGGACTGTGAGGTCGACTATAGCCCCGAAACTTCTCTGTCCCCTTTTGACAGACGGCCACCATTCCCCGCCAACTGCCAAAAGACCCGAACACGCGCGTAGACTTTTGGAAAGGTCTGCCGTGGACGCGCTTTGACGGACGACGGGGCACGTCCAGAATGAGTAGATCAGCGTCGCCCCGGCCGCGAAGATGTTTTGTACCGTTCGCCATCCATGATGGAGACCTTGCATATCGTGCAACATTTGGTAGTCCTGCAGAATGGACGAAGCATTGTTGAAGCAGATCTGGAGAGACTCGGGAGGAGGGTTTCGAATGACCTGCGAAGGCTGATAGAGCATCACCATCGTGGTGTGATACTTAATTTTTAGCTTCAGCTTCCAGATGCGGCGCTGTCGGTTGTCAACACCTGGGAAATCAAAAGATTCTTCTGATACTTTTCGCCACCAAATCACGAGCTCTTGTTTGATTCTTCCTTGTTGGTCGGTCGGGTTTCGGGGTATTGGAAACCAGGAAGAGTCGCAGGGCAGATGGTAAAGTTGTTGTTTGACGTCGGATACCAGTCTATCAAGTTCGAACTGATGTCGTGCATATCTCAGGACAGCCTCCGAGAAGGAGGATGGGATCGGGTTGAGGCTGTTCGTATTGCCTGTGCGTGCTGATTGGGGTTCAGGCATCAAAATATCGAATGTTTCGTCGCGGAAGCCAAGGGGCCGGCCTTGAATGGACGATATGGACCTATTATTGTTAGTAAATCATGAGAATAATCTAAGAGCCACTCGGTACTTGCCTGTCTAAAGAGTAGATAGTGAAGAAAGTTAACCTCTTGATTTGCTGATTCTCGAATTCACTAGGCTGGATGACTGCAGGTGGTTCCCTATGAATCCCTAGTTCCACGCAATGCGCCAATGCGATATGGATGAGCGTGAAAAGGTTGACCTCGGCAGGAGTCAACATGCTGTGTACTATCAGAGTTACCAATGCCTGAATCGACGATAAAGATATCTGCGAGAAACAATCCTTGGAAAAATGTAGAGCGGCACGATAGAACCTTTCGGGGGGAAATTCGTAGATCCGCGATCTGATCTTCATGATAGCTGCGATATTGAAGACCATGAAGAGGGTAAATGCAATAGCTGGCATAGGCACCGCTTGCGCACCTTGATCGCTTGGGGTGATCTGCCGTCCATTCCACCTAAACGTCTGAACGGAACTCGGCCAGCCATTTGGCAAGGGGTCTTCCTCCAGCGAGCATTCGAAAGTTGCAAACAGAGCATCAAGGGCACTGAGTAGAGACGTCGCTTCTAAGACTGGGTAATCGGGATGCATCCAACGAATGTAGGTGTGTACGAGTTTGATGGCGTCTTCTTTCCTTGGAAGTTCCTGCGCATCGACGAGCGTTAGCTTTATCGAAACAAACATGATGTCTGCAGTCTCCTGAGTAAGGAATAGCTGCATACGAACCTGTCGTAGGCACACGTGCAAGGCACGATTATACTCTTGCGAGATGTTGCTTGGTACGGTGCTGTCGTGCCATTCAGATGCTGGTCCCTGGGCTTGGACGTCATCAATCAAAGCAACCGGTGTTGAGCCCGCACTTGAGGGAGACGCCCCAATGAGATTTGTGAAAAGAACACCAGAACTCGATCCCAAATAGTGCTTTTGATCTGAATCCGAGTTGAGCGACAGCATCCCCAAGTTCCTGGCGACCGAGTGTGCGCGATCTGGGAACTCCTCGTCGTGGTCGTTGGATCCCGCGGCCTCCGCGGTACGCTTGAGACTGCCTGTTCGCTGCGACCCCAGATTAGTCCCTCCCACCGGCACCGGTTGACTACATCCGCGGCCGGACCGGGGAGACGATGTCGAGATATTGTCCTCGTCGTGGTCTCCACCTCCGACGACCCCCGATCCTTTCGGGTCCGGAAATGCGTCTATTTGCGGACCGCCTGCTATGTCGACGTCGGGCAGTCGCTGTTTGATTATCTCCTCTAGCCATTGGATTCTAGCACGTGCCGCGCTCGCAAAGCTATATGCGGATAGGGATCATCAGCGATGGACTCTTTTAGCCGTCTTTGAGTACCTTGCAGGGCGGATGGGACTCCAGTATGAAGGGCTCAGAATGGAACCAATGAGGAGGCAGTAGAGGCCATGGCAATTGTAGCATTCACACTTACTTGCGAGGAACCAACAAGCGCGAATTCTGACTATCAACATCTAGGCAAGTTTCGCCGGCTTTCGCGCAATTCGTGCAGGCAGGGACTTCTCCGTCGCACTGAAAAGTTGAGAATGAGCAACCCGAACAACTTGAGCCGGAGTAACGCGGCGATGGTCCCAGTCATTGTCCAGGCTAGTAAGACCAAACCCCAGCGCGGGATTTGACCTGACTGGAGCCACAAGACAGCTCGGGGATTATGAGAGAGTCTCACCTTTATTCGCCTTGTGCGACAACGACGACAGGCGAGCCGGACCTTCTTGGGCGGGTTTGCCCGTGTAGCCATCTCTGAATATGAAGTTGTCGATTTTCTCTCGTTCTTTGAAGGTTATGGCCCAAGGTGTGAAGGTAAGCGACATGGAAGGAATTGGCGAGGAAATGAATGGAAAAAAGGCATAGCCCGGGGCAGCTCCCGACAACGGCAAGGCAGGTAGCTAACAAGCTAGGACTTATGTTAGGTACCAAGTACATTTACTGGATCCCGGCAGGAGTGTTTCTTAGGGGGCTTGTCACGTCACTTTCCGCCCTCTCACCCAACCCCTGACGGGATGTGGCTTGGGCTACTTTTTCGGGATGGACACACATAGTACGCGGGAAACGTACATCAGGTATACCGGGAGAGAATCAAATGGAATAATACTAGGGCTTTCATAAGAGCTAGAAGGAGTCTCAGCTACTATTCGGGTCTTTGGTAAGACCACGACACGTACAGAAGAACATATCAGGGAGCAACAATAGCTCACCTTTGCAATAGATACCTCTGGGCACGGCACTTGAGACACTCGGGAAAGGCCTAAGCGAGTGGTACAGCGCCTTTGTTTCCTTGGGAGACCTCGAGTGCCTCGGTAGTATGTGGAGAAGCTGGTTTAGTGCCCAATTGGCAAACCTGGATCGGGACCCGTACGTGTACTCCATACTTTTGCGTCGGACACTTTGCTGAGTCTAATCAGGGCTCGCGGACACTGAAGTCTGGACACTGTCGCGCGTTCGCCAAGAGCATTCGCAATATCATGTTCTGCCTGACAAGACGAACCTTGTCAAACTGCCGGCGGTATTCTCGTTGAAGCCTTACGAAGAATTGTTCTCCCGTTAACAGAAGGTTTTACAGCTAGGGTCTCGCTACTGCATGTTCCAAATGACGAGTGGATTCCCAAGGAGTCGGAGATCTAACAGTTTATGGTCCGTAGACCCGGTATGGCCTGGAGGCTGGAGTTACCGACAATTATTCATGCTTGAACAGACTCTACCACCCTATCCCAAGATAGCCTACACCTTGTTTACAGTTTGAACTATTCGGCCGGATAACGTTCGATAGGGCCCGGCAGATGGTGGAGCAAATCAGCGTGTACAAAATGTGCTTCGGGGCATCGGGGAGCACGCGGGCCGTAGACCCTCAGTGCACTACACATCCCGATCGCCTACTCGTACGATGGAATCTACCGTCATCGCACTGCTGGCCCTACTATTCAGGGCAGACTTCTTTGGTAGTGATTTTCTAGCCACCCGCTGTGACTTGTCACTTCGCTGCCGTGCTGCCCTCCGCGACCTCCGGCCGTGAGCTTTGCAATCATCTCGTCAACCTTGATGGAATTCCTCCCTTAGGAATCCCCTCGGCAAGTTTTGTCCTCGCGAATTCGCCCTTGATGAAGCGCCTCCCGCCTCGAATTCAATGCATCTGAGACGCAGAACGCACTGGCGATGAGCGTATAAGTAGTCTACAGCATCATAAGGCTACCTGCTTTTACTCCAAGGACGGCTGGGACGAAAATTTCTAGCGGGAAGTGGGATGAACTCAAAAGCTGCATTGTTCATCACGGGGTTTCGACGTACTTGGTCGGACGCTCGCTTGGCTTTTTTTGGCATGCGGGAGTATGACTTTATCTGACTCGGTGAGCTTGACGTATTACGTCCTTGACCACAGTGAGCAGGAACACAGGACCGGTGGGGGCTGCGCCGGGAATAATCATTGAATGAAAAGGGACCGGGAAGTGTAATTATGCGGCTCCGTGTCGAGTCGAATAGGCCTAGGCATCGGTCAAGGCAACACCAGTGGCCATCTTCTCATAGCCATGATGAATGAACCAGCACGCCTTTCGCCGGTCATTTCAACTAGCTAGCATGTGGATTATTGGTTGAACTAGGGACACAGGCCTACTACCGTATCTCGCTTTCGTTTTCCGTACATCGGGAGGCTATCCGTAGATCGCTGAAGCTCGACGTAGAGTTTAGTTACAGCTCGGACTAGCCCCAATTTGCTCTTTACAGGCCACCCCTTGTGGCTAGGTATTCTAACGTACGTTAGAGCGGGTGAATTGACACGCAAAGTCCAAAGCTTAGGTTCCAACCCCCAGACGGTAGCGTCAGACCAGTAAGGCAAGGGAAAAGGGGAGTATTCCACGCATCGCGTGGAGCCCACGGTTTCCACGCGTTCCACGGAGGCGCTCTGACCAGTCTCCTGAGGAGCAGGTTTGTCTTGTTACCACCCGTACGGAGTATCCGTAGTTGTTTCCCGTACGGATATTGACGGAGCAATCCGCTAGCCGGGTACTGCTCAGACGGATAGCTCCTATGAAGGAACTTGCTCGATTATTCACCTGCAGGTAATTGATGATCATATGGCGTGAACGTGTACGAATAGAGGATGCGTGCATGTGTCTACGGTCTCTCCCTTACGTAGTGCTGGAATGAATCAACGTCTCCGTGCTACTGTTACCAGCGCTTGGAGAAACCCGAGTGAAGATGGATGTTATATCAATGATGGCGTCGTTGGCTTGGAGAGCCCTTGACGCCGATTAAAGCCACGGGTGCATTACGCCTCACCAGCACTTGCAGACGTTCTCGTATTTGCCGATTCCTTCGCGATGACTCCTTTTGCTACATCGATGGAGGAGAGACAACCCGTTCTGCTCCCGCGCGGTGGATGGGATACTCATCACCATATTTTCGAACGTAGGTTTACGTCTCATGTGGAAAATTCCTTTTGGAGCCGGATCATCAACAAAAAACCCGCTAATTCAAGCAATTTCGTCGTTAAGCCGAATCTTTCCCTTACAGCCCAAACAGGCATCTAACTCCGCCACCCGCGACGATTGCCGCGTTTGAACAATTCAAAAGAAACTTGGGCATCACAAGATCTGTACTTACTCATGGGCTATCATACGGGAATGACTGCACATCTCTCAAGGCGTTCGTCCCTCGGCTCGGTAGTCAAAAGACTCGGGCCGTTGGCGTTATCGATCCTGAAATGACGACAGACGAGGAGTTACTTGCGATGCACAGGGCGGGTGTCCGCGGCCTTCGCGTGAACCTGTATCAGTACAAAGCTATGGAAGATGTCGAGTTACAGAAAGTTGCTCTACGCGCGCATCTAAACAGGATTACAGATCTATCGCTCCCCTGGAGCTTAACGATGACGACGACCCGCACCGAGTTCTGGACCACGCTGGAGCCCTTCGTCCGAGACGTCATAGTCTCGCAAGGCGTCATGTTGGTTACAGATCACTTTGCGTTGCTGAAGGCGACAAGTCTACTGCCCGATGGATATCGCGAGGACCCGACGGCCCAGCCAGGATTTGACACCGTGATGAGACTAGTAAGGGACGGCCATCTATGGGTAAAGCTGAGCGCACCGTATCGCATCAGCGACGAAAGCCCAGGATACTCAGATGTCAAGATTCTAGTGCGCGCATTTGTCGATGCGAACAAGCATCGGGTGTTGTGGGGCAGCGATTGGCCGCATACACCGCGAATGAAAATCCGGACACACGAGGCTGCCATGAAGGAGACGCCGTATCTTGAGGTAGATGATGCGGCATGGCTCAAGAGCCTGAGGTCTTGGCTTTCAGACGAAGAGTGGGATCTGCTAATGGTTCAGAATCCAAGCCATATTTTTGGACAGTGAAGAAAATGATAAGGATGGTCGGGGTAGAATCGAGGACTTGAGAGGAGGCAACATATCGCAAAGGTCAGACGCATTAGAGAAGGCTAGCGAACAAGCTATTCCGTTGGCAATGAGACATTGTATAATACGTGAGAAACCTCTGGTTGCACTGAGAGCTGCCGAAGAGAATCCATCTTACAACAATCATTTGTCTTTCCTCACGCTCTTGATGAGGTCTCCCATGGAAGCCCCCTTCCTGAGTTCTAGAAACATCTTCTCATCAACTTCGGCCCTTTCCTGGCATAGAGCTACCACCTTCTCGACCAGAGATATGGGAGTGACCACGACGCCGTCGGCATCGCCCACTAGAATATCGCCAGGATTGATCCAAAGGTCCCCCTTGAATTGGAGCGGCACATTTACTCTTGAAGCCCGCGTGAAGGTGTTGGATCCGAGGATCGAAGTGCCTTGCGCAAACACCTAAGTGAAGTTGTCAGGTTTTTCATCCCTTCCTTTGCTGTCAGAGAGGGGAAACTCACGGGAAATCCCATCTCGTTGTGCTCTCCAACGTCTCGCATGCGACCATCAATAACCACAGCCTCCGCCCCGAGATACTTTGCCCTCGTAGACATCAGCCCACCCCAGCACGCCGAAGGCAATCCCTTGGGCTGCTGGACATACATAATGCCGCCCTCCTGATTGTGGTCAACGAAGTGCTTATCTAGCTTGGGCGCCGCGGTATTGCTCATATCCACCATCTCGACGGTCACTGCGGGGCCGAAGACGCGTCCTGACGCGCCCGGCGAGAACATGCGGATCCCATCAAGAAAGCCGCCCTGGGGGTATTTGAGCTTAACAAGAGCATCCCCAATCTGGTCTGAATGTTATTCATTACTTTGATACAATATTGACAGGAACCGGTGGCCGAGGCCGGCCGATCGACGACCTTGGCCAAAGATGCACTTACGTCACAGGAGGTGAACTTGCGAAGAGCTTCCAGAGCGCGAGGGGACATTATGGTGTTGTGTTTAACACTGATAGTTGAACAGTTCAATCCCAGGAATTTCACTGATTGATACTTGTCAATTCAAAGTTCTTCTCATGGCCGATATTTACATATAAGACAAGTTCAGGGCGTATGCGAGTGTTTGTCGGCGTACCTTACCCAGCCGTACTTCAACCTCCGCGACGCGGGGTTGCGGGGCAGCACCGAAAGCTCGGACCATAGTCTTAGCTATCAAGGGCGGGATTACTCCGTCTGCTATGTCCGGTTCTAGGAGACATCCGGCCACAGATGTAGTGAGAGGCGAGGAATACGGATTAGCGAAGTCTTCTGGGCCATCTTTGGCGGCTGAACATAGATTGCATTTAAGCTGAAAGTGAATGGGTCAAAACTAGAATCCAATCACCAGCTAGATACTCGAAACCTCTATTGGGGGCCACTAGTCACGGCATGAGGACTTGAGGGGCAGCGGAGGGAAGAGGGGATGAGCTAACGAACTGACTTGACGTGATTATTATTAGATGATCAAATCCCAAAGGCCATTCAATCGATTGTGGGATGGCGTTTCGTGGATGACGAATGGTTGCTTTATCTCAGTGACGATGGGAGCTTTCGGGGATTTTCGGTAAGCCTCGGTCAACGTCGGTCAATGATAACGGTCAAGGGTAGACAAAACACAGCCCTAGTTAACCCACGGGCAGCAAGCATGGAAGAACCAGTTCCAGTTGGCCAAGACTCTAGTATACTCACTCTGGAGGCTTCCTCTTGTTTAAAAGATGATAAGGGCTTGCTAATATTCTATGCTGCTATGGCTTCTTCCTCTTCTTCTTCGTAGGTTGGTAGATAACTAATTACACAATGAAGGCAAAAAGCTTGCGGCCAGCATCTGCAAACACTGATCCCCACCTGATTTGAACAGATAACCTTTCGATGAATTCCGAAACTGGAGTCGAACGCGCTACCGTTGCGCCAGAGGACCGTATGAAGCTATACCCACATTTGAGATGGGGTTGTGGATGCCGGGATTCTGGTACGGGGGCGGCTATGTCGGTCACGAATGGGGAAAGTACTGGGAAGCGATATAGCCTCATACACTGATGTTCGCGGGCCTCGTATTAATAAGCAATCGGACACGTGCTATCAATGGTAACAAAATCAAGTCGAGTAAATATATAACTAAGGTAATTCGGGCAACACTAGCGTGTCCCCCACTCTTCCACCTACTGGCCTGATAGGGGAATGCATTGTGCGGCGCGGAAAGAAATACTGCTTGATTCTCTGATATGCATAAGCCAATCGCGAATTTGCTACGTCATCCTGTTGATGCAGAGACGAAATGGGCAGCATCAATGAGGCAATGCTGTGGTTAACTGTGTTGCGAACAATCGACAAACTAGAGCACTGGCAACGCCAGCCACCGCGTGCTGCTGTAATCGGGAATGCCAATCGATACAAAGGTTCCGACGATGTTGCATCAATTGCACTCGTGCAATCGGCGAACTTGCTTGGCAACGGCTCCGACATAAATCAGCAGCATCCATACAAGCTTTGGGCGAGTCGAATACCTAGATACCCGTTGTGAGACAGACAAGTCGGGCGGTATGCAAAGCTGAGCGATTTCCAAAAGGGCTATTAGAGGTCACACAAAGACCTCAACAACCCCAGGCACCCAGCAACTGTGCCTCTCCAGGGCTTGGAGCTAATGCCGTCATTGGCGGCATCGGTGGCTGATGAATCTTGCAGTAATATGCTAACCTTATTAGGCAATTAGAAGTTCATTCAGACACAGTCTAGCAATTCACAAAAGTAAGTGCAGGCTCAGCGAAGACACGAAGATGCACGTGGAATCATCAGCCATCCATCAACACATCCAAATCTATCCAATGAGACCTATTTACGACGATTCCAGGGCATTCCTGCCTCATCTACCCCCTGCTGAGGCTTTCTCATAACATGCCCTTCCTGCACCAGTCTGCCGCTTTAGCTTGTGACGCGTGCAGCTAACTAGCTATACGAAGCCTCTTTAATGTCCCAAAAGAGCAATTATCAGGAAGGCGTTCTCGCTTACCACCATGGCCGTTGGATAGAATAGATACGTCTGTATCGCTTAGCCCTATGGCGATGCTGACATGAAGGTCCCACTCTTGGCATGAAGTTGTGCTTGACTCCTGCCTCCTAATCGATCTCTGTGGCTCTTCAAATATCTTATGGCATGCCAATAGCCCTCCTGGGAACTAATTTGACACATACAAAGATAAGATATCCTCTTCTTCTCTTTAAGAGATTTTGCCAATAACTCTCTGCTGTAAGCTATTACAGAAAAACCACGCCGCCACGTCTCTCCACCCTACTACTCCTCAGATCACCACACCACAATCTGACGCTGATTGGCCTCCCAATACTGCCATGGCGGCACCAAAGTCCGCATTGTGGCGCCAAGTCGGTGTGATCTCGACCAAAAACTTCATCATACTTCTCTCTCGCCACCCCGTCTCAACTATCTATACCGCAATCCTTCTCCCTGTTATACTCACAGTATACCTCGGCATTGGCAAGAATCTCAACAGCCCATCGAACGAGTTTGGAATCGCAGACTCTCGACCTATTAGATCACTAGCTGAAGGCCTGGCCGCTTCTGATGGCTCCCGTGATACAGTCGTTCTCGTCAACAGCGGACTATCAGGCGGCGATGTAGACCGGGCGATAGCGGCAATCTCTGCTCAGGTTTCTGCAGCTGGGAAGAATTCAACAACGATCACAAATCCCTCCGATCTTGGCTCCATTTGCCGCTCATCTTTCAGTGCGACTACTACTTGCTACGGTGCCGTCGTTTTCCATTCTTCCCCCACCGAGGGTGACGGAGGCATTTGGAATTACACGTTGCGAGGGGATGGAGCCTTCGGGTCATCATTTAGGGTCAACAAAGACGACCGTGATATCCAGGTGTACACGCTCCCTCTTCAATATGCCGTCGACTCTGCCATTCTCAGTCTGAACTCGAAAAATGGTAGTTCAGCGTCTCTCGAGAATGTCCAGGAATGGGGATTCACCGACGAGACTGAAGACGAACGACAAGCCAGCGTCCGAAGGAAATACCAAAAGACATTCATAGATTACTTGGCAGTCTCCTTCATCCTGGCGCTAATCGGCGTTAGCTACCATCTTCCTGGTCACGTCGCGACTGAGCGGGAGAAGGGTCTCTCCCAACTTATCGACTCCATGATGTCCACCAGCTATGACTGGGAGTCCCAGGTCATCCGCATGTTATCAAATTTCTACTCTTTCGCCACAATCTACTTCCCAGGTTGGGTCGTTGCATCGGTCATAGCGAGGAGCATGATATGGAGAGAGACTAGCATCGGCATTGTTCTAGTCTTCTTTATCTTGGGGGGCCTGGCTCTTACTTCACAAGCCATCCTCGGCGCAACTTTCTTCAAGAAGGCCCAGCTTTCCGGTGTCATCAATTCTCTGGTCTACGTCCTCCTGGGTGTTTTGGCACAGGCACTCCCCAACCCAAGCACTGCCTCCATCACCTCTTTGAGTCTGCTATTCACCCCATGCGCCTTTGTCTTCTTCATTAGATCGATGGCGCGATTTGAGGGCGAGGGACAGCCGATGAATCTTCTCAAGACGCCACCAGGAAGTAATTCTACCCTTCCAGGGATCATGATTTGGATCTTCTTGATCCTGCAGTCCATAATCTACCCGCTGCTTGCTGCCTACGTCGAGCGTCAGATTCATGGAGCCGGCTCCGAGAGTCGTAAAGTCTACAAGGGTGATGGTGTCCAGCCACAAGAAGCTGTAGTCATTGACGGCTTGACCAAGACTTATCGTCCGGGTCTTCTTCGATGGCTGTTCTCCTTCATATCTAAGCCTCGCCCTTCTATAGTGGCTATTGATCGTCTTAATCTGACGGCAAAAAGGGGTCAGATTCTAGCACTTCTCGGTTCCAATGGAAGTGGAAAGAGCACGACCCTCGATGCCATCGCTGGGATTAGTCGATTCAATAGTGGCAGTA